GGACGAGGAATGCAGCTATTTTGGGTGTGTCTGGAGACAAATCAGAAAGTCCATAAGAACTAAAATTAATCTTTCAAAAGTATCCATTGGTGATCAGTGTATGTTTACATAAAATCCAAGTGTGATGAAGGCATAATATGTGTTGCACGCTCTGCTGAAACTAGCTTTCTGGAGGCTGAGAAATGTGTAGAGAACTTGCCGAATTAGCTATTTTAAGCCAGTACAATGAGCAATGCCCTCCCTCACTGACAGTCCCATGTGGACAGCTTGGCCCTGACACCATGGTCAGGGAAGCTAAGGACGGAAGAATTCAGCACTCCTCTCCATGTCTTCATACACAAAGCAAAGCATGAGACCAATCACCTCTCCTTCAGATCCTGGAAATCCTGCAATTCTTTTTAATTTACATGAATAATTCATTCTCTAGTGCCCCACCGTCTATTTTTTACTTTAAAAGATAAAGCAACAAAGATTCATTTAAAGTTGTGAGTCTGTTTCCCCAGTTTCTCTCTCGTCACTTCCTAGCCCCACATTCTGGTCTCTGAGCCACAAGCAGTAGTGTGGGGTTTCTCCTCTACATTCCTTAATAGCTATATCAAGCACTGAGGGTCTCGCCCACCATTTCTCTCTGTGTGCAGAGCCCTGAGGCTGGCCAGAGCTGAACCCCAGAGTCCTTCCTCACATTCATCTATCCAATGAAGGGGTCGAAGTGGATGCCTACAAGAATTAAGTCTGGAAGGAAACTTAAGAATTTCTAGAAGAATCACTCCAACTTAATGATAAGAAAGCTGTGGTCCAGAGAAGAGATAGGGCTTAGACAAGATTATATAACTAATAAGTTTTAGATCCAAGACATCAATTTAGATCTCAAGACTTTAATTATGCAGGCACGCATTCATTCTTCAACTTGGGTATTCAACAAATAGTTATGTGAATCTATGATGTGCCAAGAACTAGATAAATGATGTAGAGAGAGCCCTCACAGAGCTTTTATTCTCTCAGGCACCAGAGGGGAGTTAATGGACCATTTCCACATTGATTTATAGCCTGGAGCTCTTTCCCCTAAACCTCACAGCTGATATTTGGACACAGAATCTGACTCTCATCTATAGAAGATGGAACATCTTCAGTGGAGAGAGAGACACATCCCTTACAGCCATTCTGAGAAGAATGACAATAGCACCAAACCACTCACTTTAAATCAGTCAGATATGTGATGACAAAATAAAAATATAAAATTCATACACCAAAACTCCATCCTTCCCCAAAAAGACTGTGAGCATAAAGAAAGATCATGGATTTAGAAATCAGAAAGACCTTGATTTGAAATTCTGATCTACTGCTGTGTAAAAGGAAAGCTGTGTGATTTCACCTCTCCAGGCCTCAGTTTCCTCACCTCTTATAAAAAGGAGGTGATAATGCTGTTTCATAGGGTTACAGGATTGAACGAGATAATGGATGCAACACACCCAGCCTGGTGTCTGACACACCACAGTGCTCACAATGTATCAGCAACTTTTCTTTCTCTACCACCCTCTCTTCTAGTTTGCACAGGGGTTCCATGATTGATACCTGGGGATAGATCATGGCACTTGGGAAACTTAGTAAAATTAGGCACGAGGGTTAGGGGAGGAGTATCTGATCACAAACAAAATTTCCGCCCACCTTTCCTTTTATTTCCTGGGATTTTTATATCTTGAAAGCTACTCTATTTGCATTCTCACTAATAAGTGTTAGCATTTGCCCCCTAGTGGCCAAGGTGCACAGTGACAGTTTATGCCAGACAACCCCCAAAAAACGTTACCCCATGTGTTGTTTGATTTATCTTCAGTAGTGGGCCTTCCTGGTGATCTAGGGGTTAAGTCTCAGCACTATCACCATGATGGCCCACTCTGGCTGCCTGAATTCATCCCCGTTCCCCAGCCAGGGAGCTAACCCACATATGACACAGCAGACCTCTCCTGTGTCACCTGCTGCCTTAGCAGTGTATTTCAGTAAATCTGCTTAGTCATTGGTAAATCCTCTCATCCTCCCCCACCCCCAGCACCTCTGACCTACACCCCAGTTCTTCTACGCAAAAAAAAAAAAATCTTAAATAAACAAAATTTAAAAAGAAACAGTTCTTTAGAAAAAAATCATCAGTGGTGCCTTTTGACCTAGTCACAACAAATACATATCACAACAGGAACAACTGTCATCAAAGTTGGTAAGACTGACTATTTAACACAGTTGTTAATCTTGGCTGCACATTCAAATCACACACACGCACCCCTCAATATAAAATGAATATATTGGACCTAAGCCCAAACCAGTGCATCTGAACCCTCAGGAAAGTAAGCATGGAGAGCTTTAAAAGCTCCCCAGGTGACTGGGATGAGTAACCAGGATTCAGAATCAGAACTTTCAAACTCTATTAAAACCTGGACAAATGACACAAAGATTTTCCCTTTGGGCAGCCCTCCCAGAAGCCTGCACACTCTACAGAGTTGCTCTCCAAGCTCAGAATGGCTTGGTATCCCCTTGGGGAGGTGCTTTCAGATCACATGGCATATATTCTAGAACAATCTCAACACTGGAAAATTTTTGTCTTTTGAGTTTGAATAAAATTCCTAAAGTGACTTTAAAATCAAGCCAGCTGAGTATTCCGGGCCATTTTACAGGATAAGCTGGGTAAGACCATTTTTGGTCAAAAACGACATATGGCCAAGGGGATAGATTTGTCTCATGCGTCTCATAATTGACACAAAAGGCAATTGCAAAAGAGGGCCACAAACATTTTTATTAGCAACAGCTGTATTGGAGCCCATGTGCTGGTCCCCAATCTACTGTCTTTAAAAGACAATGTTCATCTGGATGTGAGAGGTCTGGTGGAACTATTAAAAATCTGCTTTATTTTACTTAAGGGTTAAATCAGCATTTAGAAGGGAAAGGGGAAAAATTGGCTGTAAAGGTCAAAACCAGACAGCCTTTTGGCTTCAGGAACTGTGCTCACCAACCAACACAGTCAGAATCCAATTTGCCATGTATGAGAGGGACCCTATTCCAGGCTACCAGGGCAATAACTAGTCCGGGGAACCTCTGAGCGTCCCTGCTCAGGAGCAGAGGGACTTCCCTGCCCGGGACCTCTAAACTCTCAAGATGAAACTCTCTAACATTATATCAGATACAAGATGTGATGAACCCTAGTCCCCTAATGGTCAGATGTAAATCAATTGGACTTTATTTCCAACTCCAATTTTTTGCATTATATTCTTTCCCAAGAGACATTTTATTTCCCTCTCATACTTCCTCAATCTAATGTGAACAGTAACCATCGTGCCCTCTTGTCAGGCATCCGATGTCTCCAGGATGCTGTTTCCCAATATGGAGTCCCAGGAACCCTGGTTTCATAGTTATCTCTTTGTTCATTCAGTTATTCAATAACCATTTTTTTCAGGCAGGAATAATCCAGGTTTGGGGGCACCTAAAGCTGATAACAGTGGTAGAGGTCCTCCTTCAGGGAAAGAACACAAAACCGTGAACATGAAATTGGGTAGAGGGTCTTGGTAGGGGTGTGGTAAGTGCCATGATTATACCTTTATGAACTTGCAGGCACTGTTCTGGGCTCTGGGGCTAGTAGCAGGAGTAAGACAAAGATGTGCCCTTGTGAAGCTGATATTCCCAAGGAACAGAAACAAGAGCTGGAGATGAACAGAATTGAGAGGTGGGAAAATTCCATGGTTATATGTTTGGGAACTAAGACACTAAACATAATCAAACAGGTCTCTTCACTGAAGGGCTTCTCAGAGCTATTAAGATGCTGATGTGCCCTCTGACTCTCAAAGAGGACACACATCTGCATCATCCCCCAGCTGGGCATGATGAGAATCCCTTTGGATCTCTGAATCACAGAATTCTGTGATCCCTGCTGGGAAACCCTAGTCTGTAACATACTGGAAGCTCAGCATGTTATCTCATCTGTCATCTGCCACAAAACTGGGTCCCCTTCTTGTTTGGAGCAAGTGCTTGGCTTTTGCTAATGAAATAATTTAAATTGTTTCTCCTTATCGTCATTTTCTAACTCCTCTTTACTGTTTTTAGACAACTGGAACACATCTCTGCACCCAACATTTCAGACTATAAATCTCAAAATACACGTTTTAAAATCTTTCCAATCGGGCCTTGGATTTTATATAGCATGGGTTCTGCCTAAAGTAACTGGAATTCACCTTAGGAAGGATTCTCAAATTTAGAAAAGCAAAATAGCAGGACACCTCGTGGCTTAAAAATCACCCATTATTCTCAAGCATCGCAGAGGAGTCAGCGTGTGGGGTCATAAATCTGCCTTGACACCTCCCTGCAACCCCTCCACCAGGGTGAGAAGGCTCTTGTGGGGGGCTTGCTTTCCAGCGGTAAGAATTATATTTGTCTCGGGTGCTGGTTCCAGAGACATCTGTGATGGCAGCCCATCCAACTCTGTTCTCAGGGAGCTAACTTTAGCAGCAGATTCTGCATCTGCTGGCGGAGTTTGACACAGCATATGTTTTCCAAAGCAGCCTTTCCCAATAGCTGACTCCCTTCTCATGTGAGGACATTTAATATATCCTGAGAACTAATCATCTCCCCCCTCTCCCCCAACGTGGAAGCTATTTTTAATTTCATCCAATTTAACAAGCAGTCATGTCTGGAGCCCATCTTTTGATTTCAAAATAACAAAAAAGCATTTCTATGACTCATAATAGATTTTACCTCTAGAAGGCAGGCAAATTTAGCCACACCTTTCTCCAAATAAAGTCTTTCTCTCCTACACTTTGGACACTCCTCTTAACCCTTTAGCTGCTTGAGGGGATTATACACAAGAGCAGCAGCGCTGTGATAGTTTTAAAATATCCCCATAATTTCTTTGACACTTTTCTCTTCCAAAGGTGGAGCTTAATACTCCTCCCCCTGCATGTGGGCTAGACTTAGTGACAGGTTTCTAACAGAGAATACAGGAAGTGGGTGTGTGTGACTTCCCAGCTTGTGTTATTATAAAAGGCACTGTGGTCTCTTCTTTGGTTTTTTCCTAGGAACACTCACTGTGAGGAACCAGCTGCCAACCATGAAGTCAGGTAGATCTACAGAGTAATCTACAAGGAGAAGAACCTCCTGTCAGCAGCCAGCAAGAAACCGAGGATTTTTCCCACAACTTCCAGGAAGCCATCTTGACACATCTTGCTGCCCATGTGAAACCTCCCACACTGCAGCCTCAGTCAACTTTTTGACTTGGACCACATGAGAGGCTCAGACAAAATTATCCAGCTTAGTTGCTCCCAAATTCCTGACCTTTGTGAGATCATAGATGTTTATCATTATTTTAAGTCATTCAGGTTTGTAGTGATTTGTTAGGCAGCAGTTGATAACTATTATTACAACATCCTACGGTATCTTAGATGATGTCCCAACCATATTCCCTGAGGTGTTTTTCTCTTCTGTCTGAAAACATTGGGATGGAATAACTGGGAGTGTAGTTACTTGAGTAATGGAAAGGATGTCCATGAACTTCACCCTGTGGGTAAAATTAAGTCTTGTCAATATAGTGGCGTTCACTTCTGTTAGACCTAAGATTTGCTTTCAAGATCGCCCCTGCCCCGCTGCAGGGAAGGGAGGTAGTGCCCACAGCCCTCCCAGTTCAATCTTGCTTCCCACATGCCCAACAGCTGCCATTGTTCACTTTCAGGCCTATCCACATGCTTTCCCAGGCCGCCACCCAAGCCATCACACTGTCCACTTCTTGGCTATTGAGCCCTCTCCCTAGGGCCCTGTCATCGTCACTGTATGCTGACTGACAGTTGTTCTCTCCTCTGTTAGTGTCTCTCGCAGGTGTTCCAAAACGGTATCATGGCTTGGTGAACTTTACACACACAAGCTTCTTTCCACAGGGAGGGAGGGTGCCACCACTAGGTGAAGCATGCAAGTAGCAGCCAGCACACCACAGAGGGACCACCAGTCCCTTGTGATTCTCAGAGTCCACTGTTGAATTTGGTTAATCATGCCTAACACTCTGTAATTTAGAGTAGATTTTACCTCTGATCCAGCAGAATCCCACTGTTTTTTTTTTCTAAGACTTTTTTTGTTAAAGCAATTTTAGGTTCACAACAAAATCAAGGAGAAGGTAGAGAAATTTCATACAAACCTCTTCCCACATATGCATAGCCTGCCCCATTATTAACACCCTCCACCAGAAGGATATATTTGTTAGAACTGATGAACCTATATTGACACATCATAATCATGCAAAGTCCATAGTTCATAAACCATAGTTTACTCCTGATGTTGTAACTTCTGTGAGTTTGGACAAATACATAATGACATCTATCCATCATTATAGCATCATACAGAATATTTTTACTACCCTAAAAATCCTCTCTGCATCTCCTATTCATCCTCCCGCCACCCTCGACCCCTGGCACCACTGATCTGTCTCCATAGTTTCACCTTTCCCCCAATGTCTTATGGTCGGAATCATAGATTATGCATGAAGCCTTTTCACATTGGCTTCTTTCACTGAGTAATATGCAGCTAAGATTCCTCCATATCTTTTTTGTGACTTGATAGCTCATTTTATTTAGCTCTAACAGGATATGGAGTTCCTGTCGTTCCATGTCCTTGACTAAATTTGGTGGTGTCAAAGTGCTCATAGTTTGGCCATTCCATTAGGTAAGTAATGGTACCTCACTGTTGATTTAATTTGCATTTCCCTGATGATGTGTGATATGAAGCATCTTTTCTTTTTTTTTTAATTAATTAATTTATTTATTTATTATATTTGTTTGTTTTGTTTATACATGCACTGGGTACAGTCAGAAGCGCGGGAGGGTGAGAGAATTCACCAGAGCCAGAGTGGGGAGCAGAGCAGGCAGAAGGACTGAAGTACACTGCTGAGGGGAGCAGCGGGCGGCAGGAGAGGTCAGCGCGCCATGTGGGACCCTCCTCTGGTGGCCAGGGAGCAGCCGGGGATCGAACCGGCGCCGCAGAGGCCGCAGGCAGCTTCGCAACCCAGCGCTCAACCGCTGCACCACCGGGGAGGCCCCATCTTTTCTTTTTTTAATTAATATTTTATTTTATATAATTCTTACATCATTTTTCATTTTTGCACAATGTATGCATTATCATTTTGTTATATTCCCTATACAATTGCACCCCCCCTTATTTTGACCCTTCCTTTCCCCTTCCCTCTCCCCCAACCCGTAATGTATCTCTGGTTTATAGTTCTTTTTCTTTCTGACTTATTTCACTGAGCGTGATCCCTTCCAGCTCCATCCATGTTGCTGCAAACTGCATGTGTTTATCTTTTTTGAATGCTGAGTAATATTCCATGGTGTATATGTACCACATCTTCTTGATCCAGTCATCTATTTTTGGGCATTTGGGCTGTTTCCAAAGCTTAGCTATTGTAAATAGTGCTGCTATAAACATAGGGGTGCAGGTGCTCTTTGGAATTGATGTTTCTGTGTCCTTTGGGTAAATACCTAGGAGTGGAATTGCTGGATCATATGGAAGCTCTATGTTTAGTAGGTCCAGAAATCTCCACACAGCTCTCCATAGTGGCTGGACCAGTTTGCACTCCCCCCAGCAGTGCAGGAGAGTTCCTTTTTCTCCACATCCTTGCCAACATTTGTTGTTGCTAGTGTTTTTAATATGTGCCATTCTCACTGGTGTAAAATGGTATCTCATTGTAGTTTTGATTTGCATTTCCCTGATTACAAGTGATGTTGAACATTTTTTCATATGTCTGTTGGCCATTTGCATTTCCTCTTTGGAGAAGTTTCTTTTTTAGTTTGAAGCATCTTTTCATGTATTTGTTTGCCATCTATCTTTTTGAAGAGGTGTCTGTTTAGGTCTGTGGCCCATTTTTAATTGAGTTGTTTGTTTTCTTACTGTTGAGTTTTAAAAATTCTTTGTATATTTTTGGCTTTCTAGATTACCAGTTCTTTATGGCCTCCTTGTAATTTTAGTAGACCCCACCATCAGCAAACACAACTAAGTCCATCAAAAAATCCTGCACAGGGCCTCCCTGGTGGCACAAGTGGTTAAGACACAAATGAAGCTATCCGCAGCCACAGCAGCAGGAGTTCCATCCCCAGGCAGGGAGCTACCCACATGGCACAGCAGACCTCTCCTGACTCACTCTCTACTCCCCACAGCAGTGTATTTCAGTCAATCTGCCTGTCCTGTTCCTCCACTCTGTCTCTGGTGAATCCTCTCACCTCCCCCCCCCACACCTGTGGCCTGTATCCCAGTTCTTGTATGCATAAATAAATAAATCTTTAAAAAAATTCCTGCAAAAATATGAATCCCAATCATGTACCTTATTTATTATTTTCCTTAAAAGCTCCTTGGCCCCCATAACAGTGAAAGAACTCTTTTTACACATGAAAGACCTCTCAGTTTTTTATCATAATAGCCCTAGTGAGGGCCTCCCTGGTGATGCAGGGGTTAAAGATACAGCACTTTCAAACTATCATCAGTCACTATAGCATGAGTTCGGTCGTTGGCCAGGGAGATGACCCACATGGCACAGCAGACTTCTCCTGTCTCACCTGCTGCTCCCTTCAGCAGTGTATTTCAGTAGACTTACCTGTTCTGCTCCCTACTTTGTCTCTGGTGAATCCTCTCACCCCCACCCCACCGAACCTCTGGCCTACACCCCAGTTCTTGTATGCATAAATAAATAAATCTTACAAAAAAATAGCCCTATTGAAAAAAATCACTTCTAAGACAAGTGTATGTGTAGATGCTGATGCGGGGGAAGGAGGTTGCTAAGCAGCAATTGGTTTCTCAGTAGTTTCTTTTTTGAAAGAATGATGACTGTATTTATAAATCACCAAAACCTCGGTTTTTCAAAATTCCCCCTAATACTTGGTGCAACACTCAAGCACTGCAGAATGTTGGGGGGCAGGGGGCCTGGCTTCTGCACAGCTAGTGTGCTGCACCATGTGTTCTGTGTACCCAAGCTTTGATCTGCTCCCAACAAGTGTTAAGAATATGCAGGGAAAATCATCCCTTAAAGACATAGATCTGAGGTCCAAAGAATCTTTAAACCAAAATAAGTTTGTTAGTCTATTTTCTCCTCAAGGACAGAAAGAATACAAGAGTGCACAGTAGATATTTGTGGATACGTCAAATCCAAATTTGCTCTCAGTCATTAAACTAGGACCAAGATCTCCCATCTCAAGCCAAAATGGAAAGCCAGGGATGCCCAGGCTAATAGAGTCAAGGCCTATATCCTATCCCTCTTTTTCAAAACACCTCCATAAAGAAGGTGGGAGAGGGGGTGGGAGGAGAGGGGAAAAAAACTTATTCTTTCAACATTGACCCATTTTGTTCAGGTCTAACAACTCAAAAGCAACAGAGTCATTGAAACACGGATTGTAAAACTATAACACTCCTCAATTACTTCTTGTTGGCCAGACAAGCAAACCTATTATTTGACAATGCATCATGCTCCAAGATAGTAAACTTTATCATACAGAGGTCATGAGAAAAAGACCACAGGTACAGTTTGCTAACCTCCACTAGATAATTTTTCACAGTTATCATCCAAGCACTGTAAAAGCACAAAAGATATGTTATCTTCGGGCTCAGTTTATTATAACGTGTGGGTGAGACTCCCTATAAAACCACTTACTAGGTAACTGTTGCACGTTCCCCTGCACAGAAAGTCAAATCAGTAAAACATCTTTCTGACAGTGTCTTTTTAAGTGTCAGGAATAAAAGGACGTGCTCTTAAAGGAGAGGTAGCGTGCTATTTATCATCCCCCCTCACTTTCCCACACGTACACACGCAGATCCCCATCGCCTCTCTGCATGCCAGAGACACTCAAAAGAATCCTTCTCAGTAGTCTCGTTTCTTTTACAGCTGAGTATTTCACGGCAGAATTGTTCCTCGATAAAGCTCCAAGTAACATTAACTCAAGATACTATAGGTGCCGCATTTCAAGTCCTAGTCATGGTATTTTTTTCCCTGGAGTCATAACAGTGAGTAAGACCCAGGAACTACAAAATAAAAGGATGATGGATTCCCTCAGCAAATGCTCTCAAGAGCCTCAGATTTAATATTAAAGCCTAAGAGAGGTCATCTAACTAGAGCTTGAAACTTGGATTTTTCTAAGTGCCTACCTCTCTCCCACAGTAATGTCTTCATTATCCCTGGGGACACTTTAAGGGTGATAGTGGGGGGAGAGGGGGAGCAAGTCTTGGGTGATTAAACCCCAGGATATATAATGACATCCCAGGAAACTAGGAGTTCGCTATCCTATCCCCAAAAGGAAACACAAGTTAAAGGATATGAGATGGGGGATTCCCCCCAGAATGCACTTTTCTTTACAATTCACTTCTTTCAACAGTCCAGCAAGTCGAAGACCTTCGTTATCCATTCGAGGCAAGGAAGCAGTTTTCTAGATGGGCACACACAAAAGCAGTGATTTTCAAAAGAAACTGACAATAATTTGGGGGGTTAGTTACGTCTCCCCACAAAAATATGCTGAATAAATATTGAGGGGCTAT